TCTATGTCAATTTTTGGAAGAATTTCAGAACTTCTTTTCAAATTTATGACATTCTAGCTGGATTCTCAATGCAAGTAATTAATATAAATTTCTGCTTTATGTGAATTTCTGTGTAAATGTAGAGCAACAGATTTGCAGATATATCACAGTTAACACTGTGTTGTTACAAATTGCGTGTAAAAGCATAAGTAATTTAAGCAGGCTGACTCTGGCTGTGCTGCTGTCCTGATGCACCAAAGTCACTTTGAGGACAGCAACTGGTCCCCATCTTCGAAGTAACTATTTCAAAGTTAACAAGAAGGCAAGTTTTTTTTTCACACGGTCATAGTAATTTTGTTCTTGTTCTTGCATTTTCTGCAATCACTGTTTTCCCTAGTGTGACTGTAGCATAAGGTGATTGGTTTTTTTTTTACCTCAAACTTCTCATACTGCTGAACATTAGAGTGTTTCTCCAGATCAGTTAAATGGCAATTCTTAGTAATTAATACTCATCAAAGGTCCAAACTAACAAAAATAATCGTCAGCACAGGCTAGAGATGGAGCACATCGGTCAGTCCTGGTGTACTGTGAGGAAACAAAACTTCTTCAGCCATTGCACCGTTTACTTACCTGTTTGTTTCTCCTAGCCTAATCATTTGTCTACTAAATGACCCCTGGAGGGCTTTGAACTCACAACACCGATCATGCGATTTCTCTGTGTATTTTCTCATCATTGCTTTTGGCCTTGAGTTTGCTGAAAACAGATGCAGTGTTTCACAGCTCTCCTTCTTTCAGCGATTATCTGTGTTTCAACTCTGCGCTCGGCGGGATCTCATCCCTGACTCATTTAAAAGCTATTAGGAGGGCAGGGACTGACACGGGAACATTTATTTTCCTTTAGCGGTAGATCTAAGGAGGAGTGCTCGTAATAAGCGCTGTCTCACAATTAAACAATGTGATCCTAAGTGACATTTTTAACTGGAACCACACATTTCCACTCTCACATTGTGTTTTTATGTAGCATTCTGGGCTGTGCTTGGGGGAGGCCCAGCAGCAAACACAACACAAGAGCTGTCAGTCACACTGAGGTTAAATAAACCGAGCGGATATTGGTGCCAAAGCCAACAGGCGGGGCAGCAGTATGGTGAGGAAAAAAAACAGAAAAATCGACTTTAAAGAGTACACAGCAAATCAAGTGTGGCCAAACACACAGAGACAAATCCTGCCATTTCCACTGTGTTTTACCTCTTTCCACTCTTCAAAGAGCTCCTGAAGGGCTGCGGTTTTCATACCGGAATCTCAAAACAAATGTTAAAAATCAGTTACAACGTGTTCAAACAATAAGCTGAGAGAGTCCTCGTGGGTGGGACTGTGTGTACAAAATGTCTGAGTTTTGAAAGGAAGACTGGGCACCGGGTCTTTCTGTGCATTGCATCACAGAGTTTTCATTCAGAATAGCAAGTCACCGTGATCCTGAAATTTGGACAGATGCGGATAAATGTTTGGAAGGCCCCAGTGCGCCAGCCAACAGTTGGATGTTTGGGATGGACTGCCAGGGTTAATTTACCTAACTGAGTTCCTGTTGTTATGCCAGTTTTTGTGATTGAACTGAAATGAACGTGTATTTGTTTGTAATCCGGTCCCAAACCAATGTCAAGAGCAGAAAATAGGCGTGAATATCCTTTAATGTCACTACAGGCATTACTTTTCTCTGAGGCCAAGACTCTCTCTCGAGGGGTTCCACATATAACGCATTACATGCATTACATGCAAGCACACAATTGTAAACTTCACTGTAACCGGTGCACTCCGTTTGCCAGGCACTGGTGCCAGTCAAAATATGCCTGAAACACAGGATATAGATTTTCTGTCATTTGCGGGAATAAACATTTTAACCAATCAATACTGGAAAGCGACTTTCCATTCTCCCCATCTGTGACTAAGACAGAAAAGAAATAGTGGAAAAGATTAAGCAGACCCCCTCCCCCCCTTTTTAAAAAAAGGAGAACAAGGAATGAGCAGGAGGGGGGTAGAAGGAATAAAACAGAAAGACAGCGTTGTGCAGCCGAAGAATAAAAAATGTTTAAACTTGGAAAGACAAAAGAAACTTAGCTAAAACCTTCCAGCAAAAGTCTGATGAAAAAGGGGGATCTGTGCTGAAGGAAAGAGTTGCTTGCGCTTCGTTAGTGTGAGGCTGACCTTTGCCCGCAGGTGTTGAGATGTTTCTTCACTCCTCTGCTGTCTTTGAGAAAATATCAGGCCACTCTCGCCGCTCCTCCTTCTGTCTACACTCCTGAGATTTTAACTAAGCCTCAGTGTCAATCAGGATGTTATCGCTCATTTGTGGCCTTATGAGCAGGCTATGATGGATCTACTGTAGACCTCTTATACACACGCACACACACATACACACAGAATCATGCTTACAAATAGACACTAATACAAAAAGCTGTGCGCACCAAAAAAAAAAAAAGATGAAAGAAAAAAATATTCATTAGATCGTTGAAAACTTTGAAAACTGGATGTGCACAGGAATCATTTTACTTATTTATGATGAAGCACCGCACATTTTCCTGAAAATATAAATGGCTAACTCTTTGCACTTTGAAAGCTTACAAGGAACAACCCTTTGATGGTTTCTGTCTTATTTCAGGCGTGCTTACTGAACAAAATGACTGGGTGTGCATCTGAACTGTGCAGCTACCCTTGGAAAAACCCATAAAACTATTTAAATGGTCATCAAACCACATATTTATTGATACATACTGAGGTGTCAAAGCTCATGATTAATGGTGCTGGGAAGGTTGTCAAACGTCGTCTTTATAGGGGAGAGAGTTAGGAAGAAAATTTGAAATCAAGCTGTTTAGTTGATAACTGATGTTACAATTCTTCATAAATTAATACCAATTTTAAGAAAACCATGACATTTTTGGTAAGCAACAAACTTTTAATGTTTCATTGTTAGATGGTTGCAGATGTTTCAATGTTTCATTGTTCTGTTACTGAACTGTTGTAATGAAGAAGGGTCGATTAGTTACGGACAATTTTGCATTAGTCACGCATCCATCAAACAATTCTTTGGCTAAATAAAGACTAATGTTTATAGAAATTGTCAACTTTATGCAAACAATGGTTCGGTTATGGTTTGGGTGGTATGTGAACAAAACAGCCTACCAGCTGAATATTCAGTGTCAGATTAACCTTCATGGTTCAGTTTTGAACTTTATGCTGGCTACAGCTTTCTGTTCACTGCCCACTCTGCACTGCATGGGAGACAGAAAAAGTCAATATACATATACACTCACTGGACACTTTATTAGGCACACCTTGCTTGCACTGGGCCTTCTATGTTCATGGCATAAATTCAACAAGGTTCTGTTAACATGTTGGTCAGGATAGCATCGCACAGTTGCTGCTCACATCCCAAAGGTCAGATTGAGATTTGGTAACTACTTTTTGTATTAAAACTTACTTTCCATTCTGTTATTCAGTCAAAACAAATGCACGGACATTTAGAGAAACACATAAAACAACACGAGAGATCATATATCACGAACAAGCAAAGACACAGCACAGACTGAGCTTATGAACAACATGAACTGTAGCTACAAACAGCAGCCTGGAGTCAAAGGCAACGTTCTTTTTATCAGCTTCATCAGATATTTTATTCATCTCTTGGAGACAGTTAAAACTTCACTCAGCAGGCTTTGAATAATAATCAGCTTTGGAAAAAAAAAAACATGTAAAAAGTACATAAATCCATTTTAATTAGTATGTAAATAAACTAATGTAAACACACAATTAGCATCAAGATAAGATATAAATTCCTCTTTCGCAGCAGCACCGCTGGAGACTTTGTGGATCAGGGACTTCACTTCTTGTCGTCTCGCTTTGTTTACACACACATCATGCAGTATTAAACATCAATGCGGTTTTATTCGCCCTGAAGCAAAACAACTCAACTCAAAGCAAGTCAAAGATGCTGGTGCCAGACTCTACACATCATTATTGTCTTTTATATTTTTAGGAAGACATCATATTGCACTATTGAGTAATCTCTCACTTGTAACAGCATAATACACATATGTTACTTCTTGCCGATGAGCCCGTGTATCTAAATGAACTAGCTGCAGTCCCACATACAGTACAAGATAAATACATATCATGGTAGAATTTACATACTGAAATGAACTGTACATCATTAGATGGCTGTTTTTCTGAGGTTATCTTGATAAGTAGCTTGACTGAGGCTCAAGTATCCAAAGTGAAGGCTACTCTCGCCTGTGATCATTTATTTGTATCTCAATGGACATCTTTTTACAATAATATATTTAATGCTTTATCATAATCTTTACTCCCCTGGCAGTCTTCATGAATCAGTCATTCCTGAAAGGACAAGCTACATTAAGTATAAAATAGCACACAGTGCTTCTTCTTGAAAATAAATGCAATACTTTTGATCAGTCTACACCAACACACATACCCACATGCTGACACACTTAAAACAACACCAAAAGCCTACATCCATGCTAGCTGCTTTGTGGGGCTGTGCTTAGCAGCACTTAATTGGTTAAACTAATTGTTAGCATGGTAACATTCCCACAATGGCAGCGCTTAATTTTTAGTAGGTAAAATTCTTACCATAGTAGCATCTAGTAATTTACACTAATCTCAAAGAAGAGATGATGTTGATGGGATTTCTGTTAGTGTTTTCTCATGAACAAATTGAAACCCGATGATGGTGCTAAATAAAAAGGTCATTTATCACAAAGTTATTACGATTCATCTTGCGGGGAACATGTTACTTGATGGAAATCTGACATTTCTTGAAGCTGTTCATTCAAAGTCATATTGTGACAGTGGACCAACTGCCGGAGGATCAGTAAAGCTATAAACCAGCATCTCCAAGCTATTTGTGCTGATTCCTATGTTTTACATATTATGATAAAATTTAAAAAAAAAACATTTGTTCCTTACCAGGTTTTAAAATTATATAAATACAACCTCACAACAACACATGACATATTACACTGTGACTTTTTTTATTTAAACACATTGCTTTCACATTGCTTCATTTGACTGAGATGAGCTCTCTTAATAATTTCAATTGGGTTAAAGTCTAGACTTGGACCGAATCAGTGCAACACCTTCATTCTTTTCTTTTTCAGCCATTCTGTTGCAACGAGCTGTAGTGGGAATCAGATTTGAACAAGCTTTAGATGTCCACCAGACAGCCTGTCCAACATTTGAATCTAAAATATTTTTGATATACAGAAGAGTTCATTGTCAAGCTCATGCAAGGAGCTACAAGCTCCTCCACTGTATTAGCATGAAGTGTTCCTCTTTGGTCTCATGTATCCAAAGGACATTGTTCCGGAAGTCTTTGTTCAGATCCAGCTTTGCAAGCCTAAGCCATGCAAATTAATTTTAGAGAGAAGAGTGTTTCTCCTGGAAACCTTTCTAAATAAGTCATATTTGTTCAGCCTTTGTCTAATTTTGCTCTCCTGAACTTTAACTAATAACCTGCTAACTGATGGCTGTAGTGTCCACGGTGTAACTCTTTGGTTTTCTGTAGTTTCTCTGAGTTTGGAGTAGATTTGCTGGGATCTTCAATCATGAAAAGACTGGACGCAGTCTTTAATGCTTTCTGCTTGTGAAAAATCTAGTAGTGTGGTGGACTTGAAATAGTTTGATAATGGCCTTATAATGCTTCCCACATTGATTGGCAGCAGCAATTACTTCTTTAAGATCATTGCTGATGTCTTTCCTTCTTGGCATTGCATTAACACATACCTGAATGCTTCAGACCATCAAACTACCAAAGCATCTGCTGCTCACACTCACTGATGATCCATTAATCATGTACATTTGATTAGCAGCGCCTGGATCTGAATTCTCTAAATTCTATGCAAGCAGTGTGTTTTTTACACAGTCTGCATTAACGATTCGTTTCTGTTAATAAACGATAACACTGCAAAGTATCTCATGCATTTCTGTTGATCTGAGGTTGTATTTTGTTTATTTTAAGACCTGCTAAAGATAAAACTTTCCATTATATCCTGACATGTGAAAGAGTGTGTACTTTCTTTTTCACATGAATGCACTGCCAAAGACTAAATGAGAGCATATGGCACTGAAGTTCTACTGGGAGTTGAGAAACAGCAAACAGAATGACAGAACTGGGAATCAGAGGGTGAATGGACACTTTGTCAGGCTACCTTTCTGTGAACTGACAAATTGTATTCCCCTAAAAAAGAGTCATTACGCCCATCACTAGTCTGTAATCCCACATATCAACAATATTTCTCCAAGAACCTTAGCCTATGTATTTTGCACATTTCCCCTGAGGATCTTTAACACCACCCTTTTCTATACCTCCTACACAAAGTGACAATATTGTTATAATTACCAACAATATCATAAGCTACATTGTTAAGACTTGTTACATATGATACTATACAGCAGCTCATGCTGTACAGACAATATGATCGTCCACTTCATACCCAGATGTAGACAGATTGTGAAAACATGTATTGATACTGGACATCAGTGATTTTGGGGGGGGGGAAGGAAACGGCTTCATGGCAATCCCCATCCACTTGTTTGTGTGGGTAAACATTGACAAGCATGTACATTACAATTCATCTCCTGTACAGTTCATTTACACTCTGTTGCACACTCTTTTTTTTCTTTATACATTGTCTAATGAGCTCCTTTATCTGCTTATTGGCAGTGCTGAGTCATTTTAAAGTCGGTCAGTCCATCAGCCCCAGGCTGGATATCCATTCCACCGGGATGAAACATGAAGGCATCAAAAAGCACAGGAGGCTTAACACAAGCACAACGGAACTCAACTGCTGTGGTAAAAATCTCAATCAACTAGTTAATAAAATGTTATGTTGAAATTAAACTACTTACTGGAATGAAGCCAACATGTAATCGTTTCTGCAATGACTGTCCAGTGAGTAGTTTAACTCGACATGGCTCTGGTAAAAGTGCACAAGGCTATTTTCATGCAAGGGCTCTCTGCAGAGCAGTTTGCTTCTAGCCCACTGTGTTAAAGAATAATCAAAACCTACACTCTCATGGTTTATTAAGAGACATGTATGTGTTTATAAAGAAAAAGACTGAAGACGGTAAAAGATGAAGACCAACACTATGGTAACAAGAAATAAAAAATGAAAATGAACCATGGTCAAGACAAACTTTTCTGAAAGGCCTTGTCTTTTGTTGGAAGATGTGTGGGCATTGTTGCTGTCTGTTGGTAATCAGCATGCTCGCTGCATCATATAATCTTAACAGCCTTCACATATACACACACATACATATTAGTCATACAGTGTTTCATTTCCCAAAGGAGAAATAGTTTTTATGTACTGTATTGTATTGTACTGTAGTGTGATATTGTGAATAAGTAGTTAGATAGATGTGATAGATGATAGATGGATATTTTGTGATCAAACATAATGTTTTTTTAATCTAAAAGGATCTACAACTTATTCTTTATCTTACAAAATGAAAGATTCTTTATTCTGCATCAACATATTGCAGTATATATCAGTTAAAGTCAATAGACAGTTCTTTAAATCCTTGCTTTTGTGTGGGTTTAGGTATTGAACTTTGTGTGGCTGGCCCTCTTGCACACATCTATACTCACATATAAATATGCATTTGCCAATAACATCCACGCTGTTTCATTCGTGGAATAGGTGTAGAGATAAAAGACCGATGTCTTTCGATTTCTTCTTCTTCTGAACCAAACATGTCAGACTGTCTCTGTGGCTTCTTGAAGGCACTGCTCCTTGATGTTTGATATTTTCTTAATGATCTCTGCTAAGCTGGAATAGATGGCACAGCCTTCAAGGGCCTGAGGTTTGCTTGTTTTCTAAATGAGCTGAGGCGTGGGTCGACTCCAACTCCAAGTCTACCAGAATCTGCTTGCATGCAGGGATGCCTGGCCACAATCTACAGGTGTGTATTTGTGTATATGCACGTGTGCACTCCCCCTCGCTGATATGTGTTTTTTCGAGTGCAGTAAATGACATGGCTGTGTGCATTTCTATGTGCAAGTATGTGAATATGCAGGAAGCGAGAGAAAGAAAGTGAGAAACAGAGTGTGTTTGAGCGTGACCTACAGCTGTGATGTGGATCACTTGTATCCACTGTCGTGAATGAGAAGAATAAATAATTTAAGGTGCTCTCTGTTAGCCTTTTGATATTGAAGCCAAGTGTATGTGAACGGAGCAGAGAACCAAGCAGTCCCACAGCTGGCCTAATTTGCCAGGATTCAAAGCAGCTTGACCTAAACCACCTGAGATGAATGCAGTCGTTTAGCAAGAACAGACAGCTACGAGTCTCCCAGTAAGGTGGCCGTTTCCTTCCTTTCAGATTTCAGAGATGTTGCATAAAACCTAAGATTGCAATGTCAGTGCGTAAACAGACAGGCAAAGTGACCTCTCCTTGAAAAAGTCCCGCACTGAAATTTAGTCTAAGAAAGTGAAAGTCTGGAGAATCAGCTACAATGCAGAGATGGTGTGACTCATAGTAGCAGATGTGATGGAATGAGAGAAAATGTGAATGGAAAAAAATTAGAGCAAAGACAATCAATGAGTATTTTAGTTTGATAGCTCTTGGAGAGTGTAGGATATTTCTTCACAGAAACTCTGGTTGCTGTTATGTGTCTAACGATTAGAGTATGTGTGGGTTCTGTTGCACTTGTGTTTATTCTGTTTTGTATCCAGGGTGTGTTTTTAAGCCAGCTCTTCTTCTGGAGGTGATACATTGTCGGCCCCAGCAGAGAGAGCATGAATGTTGTGAATCACCTCCTCGCCTTTTTCTTTCCACTCGTCCTAGAACCTGGTGCTCTCATGTTTCAGCATGCGGATGTTGGTAAGTGTGCCGCTGCCCCTGTGGTGGTATCCGTAAGCCTGGTGCTGCCCCTCCAGTCACCGAGCGCTGCTGCCCGACGACATGGTGCTGCTGGGACTGGAGCCGCCCGAGCCCCGGTCTTCAAACACGCTGATCTCAAGCTGAAAATTTGATGAATGTCAAGGATCACTGTGCGTTGTCGACAAATTCCATGAGAATTTAAAGCAATACAGTTTTAGAAACCTCAGTAAGGTATTTCAACTATTTGGGCAAGCCTAATCTGGCCTTACTGTTCTTCAGTGTAACCAGTGGTTTGTTCTAAATCCTCTGTATTTCCATTCATGAAGGGTTCTCTTGTTTGCAGACTCCTCCAGGGTCTCCTTGACTTGATTATATGCAAAGAAATTGTTTTTCTTAATTGTGGAAAGAACTCTGCAATCTTATAATTTAGTAGCCTTCTGTGGCCTTCTCCTGTTACTGTGCTGGCCAGTGGATTCCTACTTTTAAAGAAGAAATTTTGCTTTCTCTCTTTTTCATCTAAATAAGAGCTTCCTTCTCTTGCATAAACTTGCAGCTCTTTGCACATCAGCAAGTTCCAGCGAATGGCTACCAAACGCAAGTTCAACACCAGATTTTTTATCTGCTTAGATTGTCATAAAATAACAAGGGAACATCTGGCTGTCGAACTGCTTGTCAGTAAAATAGTGAAATTCCTTTTGAGCCACGGAGAATGGGAGACAATGTTTAAAAATTGCTTTTAATTCCTCAATGATTAAAAAATAATTTTGGATTAATGCTTTTTAGTTAAAGCAGAAACTCTGTTCCCTGATCACATCTCGTTGGTTTACTTAAAATCCACTGTGGTGGCGTAGCGACAAAAAGCGTGTCACTGTCCAGAAATGTATGAATCAAAGTTATCTGAACTCTCTGCTTACATTCATAAACCTTGGCAATGGTCTTACTGGACAGCGCTACTCTACTATCATCATATGTTGATTTTACTGTTTATAAAATGTTCACGAGGCTAAACTTAATTAGTTGTGAAGGCTTCTACTATTCTATTGAAAAGGTCTGAGAGAGTCGAGCCTATGGGCTCTGCTCTTTAACGTAGTCAGTGGATTTTAATGGTGGCCTGTCTCTGGCACATGTCTATATTATGTTTACTTGTGTTTGTAGCTACATGAAGGTGAGGAAGCTGAGCCCCCAATAGGAGGACAGCTTCTGAACCATATGAACTCACATCAGAGTCTCTTGAAAAATTCCTTCTGCATCAAGGAAACCTGAGCTTATTAAAAAAACAACATAACAATAGTCTGCCATGAATTTCTTCCTTCTGGGTTTCTCCTTCCAGAATTCCTCTTGTCTGCGTCTCCCCCTTTGTTTGTTTATGTATTACTTTCTTTGTAGGCCTCTTCTTTTTTTATTGATAATAACTTTCTCTGTATGTCTCTGGTTTCTTTGCTTCCATTGTTTTCTCTCCTTTGAGACTGTCTGCTTCATTTATTAATATCACCTTTTAATTTCAACCATTCGTTCTCTGCATAACCACTCAGTTTTTTAAGAGTTGGTAATGGGTTGACCTGGAGCCCGTTTTTTTTCTTTGGGCCAGTGTGAGCCAGGACTGTGTGATGGTCTATTGGACACATTCACTCTCTCCATGTGTCTGTGCTGGTATCAGTCCAGCTGTCAATAGGAGATATAGTGCTGTCCACTCCTGAAAATGTAGCAATTCATCTATAAAAGAACAGCCACATGAAAACTTGGAAATCATTAAAAAGGCCTTGATATAAAACCTTACTTCCGATTGACCACATTAATATTATTTATTTCTTATTTTTTGCATATTTCCATATCAAAGCACAGAACTTTCTGTTTTTTTCAGAGCTTTTTTAAGATTTACTCACGATAAAAAATAGTTGGCCAGTGAACAGCTACTCTGCAGCAGCTGGACTTTAAGTGTCTTGTTCATGGGCATCCTGATGGTAATTTATGAAGAAGTTTTTTTCATCCATTTGCTGTATCAAATCCAGATGTTTCCACCAGTTTCAATAATTCTAACCAATGTCTTTCCACGCCATCTTTAAACTGTCTTATAAATGTTGAGCTGTCCTGTCTGGGCCTTTATCCACTATCTATTTGTTGCACAGAGATTACAGTAACATATGGGAGGAGGATACAACCCTCATTCCTCTCTCTATGGGGTCTGTGAGCAGCAGACCTCGAGGAGCGTAGATCTTCTCATTCTGCTCCTGGATGAAACCTGATATCTTCCTCAGCACCTGGAATAAAACAAGGGGGGCAGAGAGGTATTAGAACAAGTACCTCTGGAGGTAATCCAGATTTGATTAGAAATGTTGGAGGTAAGATGAAAACCCAAGCAGGACAATCAGGCTCCCATAAAAAAATAATAAGAGAGAACTGAGATTCAGTACCTGCCGACTACTTTTTCAGGATGCGTTCTGTGTTACACGCAGTATCTAAAAGAGGTTAAATTGGCCCAAGTTACTTTAACCTCTGGAAAATATGAAAAATGAAAGAAACTAATTTGCAGTCCTTCTGCGCATACTTAGCATGCGGCATATGATACCAGCTCTGTCAAATCATTGCCCGGCTTTATTTTTCCTGCGCATTAAAATCCAAACTTAAAGTAATTCCATTATGCTCCAAGTATAGCAGCTATTTTTTCTGCATACTTCCAAGCCACTCTTGTCAAGCAGGGCTGCATGAATTGAATTACTAAAAATGATGAGTATGAGCTTTTCTGCTTTTGAACTTTTCCATTTTGAAGCTTGAGTTCCTAATTCAAAAGATGGCTCTCTTTAAGGCTAAATGTCATGCCTTGGTTAACTGTCAAGGCTCTAAAATATGAAGTGGACAGTTTATTTAGATTGCACTGGCAGTGGACGTTTTTCTCGGTTTTGCAAGTGAGCATTGCAGCAACTGTGCGAAAACCACAGAGCAGCAGTGGAGTGAATCTGTGCGGTTCAGGCCATGCTTTGGCACACAGATTCAAACAAGCATGTCTGTATACATTCTCTCATTCATTGCAACTGCACACAAACCGTTTTATCTGGAGATTTGAATAGTGTCTACGAAACCTAAGAACTGAATGTTGTTCCAGCGATGCTGCTGATAGCAACTAAATGTCTGCAGACTGATGGCCAGTAATGCCAAACAGGCAGCTATTAGCTAAAGTGGGTTTATTAGAACGGCTTATTCAGCCTTAGCTATGCCTCCATGGGAACAAATCATGCTGATGTACCACGGCTCGCCTAAACTCTGCCAGTGTCATGTCGGCCAGCGCCGTGTTCCTCTGTGCCTCATTTGCACCCACAGAGCTGCTGCCGCTACACATGTTAACCAATATGTACAACTCTATTAAAGAGAGCTTATTTAAATTCTTTATGATTTTCTAGAGATGCTGTACATTTCCTCAGGTCTGAGGAGGAGACAGGAGAAGCATTTGCTTGCTGTGACTTCTTCCAACTACTACCTGCCCTGTTTTAACAAGGGCATTGCACAGATTTTATAATATTTGGCAGGGTGCAGACTCTCTCATGTCCAGCGCCGCTGATTCAGACATTTGCATTCCTAAGTACAGCTCTGCTGCGTAATGACTTCAAAGTTTCCAAGCTGCAGTAAGTGTGAAAATGGTTCTATTGAACATGACAAATTCACATCCTTTTTTGTGAGTTAGCTAAAGGTCATTGCAGCACACAGCCTAGAGCGATTAAAACAACACTAAGCAGTTCACTGAGCACTGTGCTCCTCTGGTATGTCAAAGGCCTCGTACAGCTGCAGGCCCAGCTGCTTATACAGTGACCCTTGTTAGTGGAGACTAAACAACAGAAGAAATATTTTTTGTCTCCCATTGGAAAAAGATACTTTTACAATAAAATGTCTGGAAAACATTAGGACATTGCGTTTCTCAGTGAAAAGAAATTGAACTGAAGCCATCGAAATTCAGCGGTTTAGCCCTGCTGTTCTTTAAATCAGTGAGATCCATGTGAAATAGCGCTGAGCACAAAGCAATCAATATTTGACTTATAAGATATCCACACATTTCTTAACGCAACACAAACCATTTCCTTTGCTACAAACTCCAAGAGAATCAAGCATTGCGGTAAAGTGGCAGAGAGACACACAGAGGAGCCCTGACTAATCAGTTTACTGTGGTTCAGGGAAAAGGCCAATCCTTTCACTTGCTAGCGAGCTCTCGGGGCAGCTCAATCCTCTTCGGTGTAACAATATGACAGTCAAGTATCCAAGCTGTGCCTGTGTTGTACTGGCATGTGTGTGTGACAGCCCTTCTGGGAAAAGCTTTGTGTTTGTGACAGCATACGCACAATCCCCTGCTTATGCTACCAAATGCAATATAAAGGATTTTATGCGTGTGTACACGTGTCCTTTAGAAACCCATACTGTATGTTCAGCTACATTCTTGTCAATAATACGAGAAGAAAAGTAGAAGATGGAGGGCACAAAGTGTGCGTGAGGGAAGTCTTGTGAATGTTTTTAAGCACATGTATCTGTTCTGACATGCTGGGAGCAATCAGTGTCCTTTGATGGTGTGAGATGTAAGCATCAAGGGACTCCAGTGAATCTGCACCCTGATCTGCGAGCGCTGTTTTGTGGGACTCGGACGCACATGAACATGCAGCATCAACTTGGGTGGGTACACTTTATCATCATCAGTCATAATGTTGTTCAGCCAAGATGGCTGAGTTAAGCAAGCAAATAAACAACTCTCCTGAGAAACTGATAGAATCTCAGGATCTTAATGGGGCAGCACCCAGCTGACAGGGAGATGAAAAGAGCCTCAGACTAGGCAATTTCTGCATGGCTTCAACTCAGCAATAAGTCCTTTTGTACTTCTTGGTCAAGCTCCTAGTACCTCTGTAGTCCTTTGATGAAGAAATGTTTACAAAATGCAACAAGACAAGGGAGATGACAGAGATCAGAACAGAGAGGAATGCTGAAAACTTCATGCAGCTCCAGTTCTATCTAAAACGGCGGCAGGTACACACAAAATCACAAGAGGATTAATCACGCTCGCTGTGTCTGCCTATGCGATTGTGTTATGTGTGCGTGTGTTCCTGTTCCATTTCAGTGACTAACAAGCAGCTACACAGCCATGCGGAGCTTTAACCACCTGCCCTTTGTCAAGATGGGCATCTTGGTTGCACTTTAGGTAAGCGTCAGCTGGCGTGCCATGCCTTATCCAGCGGCACACTTGTGTGGCCTTTAGAGTGAGTTTTAAACTCTGGTGGACAGACAGAGAGAGAGATTGCATCTCCTAGAACTGTGTGTTCTCTTCTTAAAGAGCCGGATGAGGCTTAATGTTTTTTTGAGTGGGAAAGAGTTGAATTCAATAGAAATTGACACATAGGGGAGAAAATAACACTTCTGTAAGTGGAGTTCATCACTGCGCATTAAAAGGTTCACCTTCATCTCACATTCTGAGATTCTGGGCTCTGTCCACTGAGGCCTTTGTGTGCATCTTTTGCTGTTTTTTTTCCCCAGGTTCCTCAGTCTCCTACCAAGGCATGTGGGATACGTGCAGCATGAATAATGTGCTATCACTTGTGAACTGTGTTTGGGTTTGCATGGCGTTTTCGCTGTGCCTGTGCAATACCCAGAGAAGAGAGTGCAATACAGGTTGTCTTGTGCTGCAATTTAAAGACACATTCTAGTTCAAGATGTGGTTTCAGGTTTGAAAAGGGAGACAGTATAGAAGATGCTCACTGAACTCCATACAAAACATAAAAAAAGCTCATAAAGTGAGCCTGAGGAATAGATGGTGGCTGAATCGAAGTGTGCAGTAAACTGAAAGAATAGTTGTATTTACAGCAAAAGTCTGTTGTTTTACCTACAGCAGATCTTAAAGACGGTTAATGGAATAATAATTGTATTTTTATATTTAAAAGGCTAATTTTAACTCATTTTAAAGCTACAACCTCTATAAAAAGCAGCAAACTGAAACAAAACATGACAAGTTACAAAAAAGTTGTAATTATACAGTATTTCCACCCAAAATGTAATATTTTGTGTACACAGACTTCTTACCTTTTCATATCGTGTTTCCATGCAGAGGAAGATGATATAAGCTGTTGCACAAGCCAGACATCCTTCCAGGTACGACTGACCTCCAATTTTTTCAGCCTCAGCATAATAAGAGTTAAGGGTCTTCACTGTCTCCTCAAGTAAAGTTCGTTCAATCTACTTATAAACAAAAACAAACAAGACCAACAGCGGTTGTAAGAATGGCACAAGTGAAATATGTTCTGTTAGCCTGCCAAATATGCTGCCTGTATTCTACTCAACCCAAAATACAATTTTTTCAAGGAATTAAAACAACAACAACTTTGATTTCAGAATATGGAAAACCTGATGAACAATTACTTACAACTACGACAGCAATGTATTTTTTCCATCTGACAGAGAACATTTGCAGTAAATCGATGACAACTGATGTTTTCTTGCTCTGCTCTTTGTGTGGATTGTCTGCTTCATATGCAAATTGCTAGACAAATATGCAATAATACTCCTACATAACCCCATTCACTAATTAAAGCAAGGTAAAGAAAGTAAAATTGCTCTTTAAATAAATAGCACATTCTCTCACACAGTCTTTAACTAAAGGCATCTACTTTTGCTTTAACTGTTCACACATGCATACATTCAGGAGATGTTAGATGGGGAGAAACATATATATTACTTATACAACAGACATTTGCATCCATTTGTGGATGATGCCCTTGTAATTATTATGCATAATGTGTGCATTTCAAGTATTAGCTTTTTGCTTTTGAGGACCAGCATTACAGGAATTAGACGTTTCCTGGTTTAAGAAGCATCCCATATGCACAAGTGTTGTTTTAAGTGTATCTGCATCTATCTGTGAGTTTAGCTTAATAGACAAGTCTACAGTATGGGCCATCAATCTTTCTGTATCAGTCAAATTAGAGTTATATGAAGTGGGGGGTTATATTGCCTTTGTCTAGGTATTTGAGTTTGTGTTTGGACTCACCCTGTTGTCAAGCTCTGAGGGAAACTTGGCCTGGAATCGACACACAGTTCCTTCACTGTAGTCTCTCTGTATAAACACCTTGGTGACCAGCGATGGACTGTGCCGGAGCTCCTGAAGGTTGTGGAACTAAGAAGTTACAAAACAGAAGAAAAAAACAGAAAAATGAATTTTGTGGTCAAGAATACATTTCAATTCATGTACAGTACTCTATGGCTATAATGACATATATATATATATATATATATACATATA